TCTGTTTGATGGCCTCCGAAGACGATGCCGATTTCCGCGTGAAACTTACTGATGCTTATCTCAAGATACGTAAAGTGAAAATCAATCCTAGCATTTCCGTGGCTCATGAAATAGCTCTGAAAAAGGGACCTGCTATCTATCCTATCCGTCGCGTCGAATGCAAGAGCTTCATCGTTCCCGCTGGAAATCCCTCCCTAAGGAAGGATAACCTTTTCAATGGACTGGTGCCAAAAACAGTTGTCTTTGGTATGGTCGAAAGCGACGCGTTCAATGGTGCATTAAAAAAGAATCCGTACAACTTCCAACATTTCAGCGTGTCCTCCATTGGAATAACCGTCAACGGAGAAGAAATACCATTTAAACCCTTGCAGCTTTCCTATGGCGCAGCACCTAAATACATCGAAGCATTTACCACACTGTTCTCTGGTACGGGAAAAATGTATCACAACACAGGAAACGATATATCCCGAGAAGAATTTCCAGAAGGTTACGCCGTGTACGCCTTTGATCTAACACCGGACATGTGTGGAGCCTCTCCTCATTTTAACGCTGTGCAGAAAGGGAATTTGGCCATTGATATCCAGTTTTCCGCAGCGCCTGCAAATGCTGTGAGTCTCGTATGCTACGGAGAGTTTGAGAATACCGTGCACATTGATTCCGAAAGAAACGTTGTCTACGATTATTCTGGATGAACACTGCCCAGATAACCCATGCCCTGGAACAAGATCCCGTAACAAGCAAGAAGTTTTGTGGTGTGTTCCCTAGCGACAAGCTGCCTCAGACGATAGACAGATATCCGTGTGGATTCGTTGCGAACACTGATACGAGCAGTGGACCTGGAACCCATTGGGTCGCCTTCTACTTTCCATCGGAAGAGAAAGGAGAATTCTTTGACAGTTACGGACATGCGCCCGAGTACTACAGGAAATCGTTTGGAGACTTTTTAAAGTCTCGCGTATGGGATTTTAATAGACGTAAATTGCAAAGTGCCTGGTCGGATGTATGTGGCCAGTATTGCATATTTTACCTTAGCCATAGAGCAAGAGGTCAGAGCATGAGTAATATCGTACATTTATTTAACAATGATACGACTTTAAATGATATGAAAGTATCCCATTTTGTTAAGAGCCATTTTAAGGTATTGTTAAAACATTCAAATGTTAACCTTAATCAGTTCAGTAAAAAGATGTTTTCAATAAAATTGTTGTAAAAACTGTACTGTGTGTTCTTTTTATTCTGCGCATGCGTACAAACTTGTGTCCCACATGCGAACCGTGCATAAAAATACTGCCCCAAAGAATTGACATCAATACAAAATTGATTTTTAAAACATTTTTATTAGTACATGCAAACAGTTACAACATTTTTAATAAGGAAGCCATTGTTTTGGTTTCGCTGCCTGTCTTCTGAGTAAACCACGGATATATTTCGCGGGACTTGCACGTGGTGATGTTGGTGGCGGTGGTCTCGGTGGCGGTGTCTTAAAAACAGCCTCTTCCGCGCCAGGCGGACTGCCCAATTGAACCTGATCCCATCTTTCCGTGTTTCTTGCAATATCTTTGGGTACATTAATCTTTGACAGCCCGCGAAAGAATTCCTGCGCTCCCTTGGGATTAAAATTCTTACGTGCCCGCATGGCATCACTCACCAAATCCGATATATTCGAATCAGGAATCTCCTTACCGTCCACTTTAACTTGCCCAGAGTTGTCCCAGGAAAACACGTCGGGTCTTGCTTTCAAACGCCTCAAAAGAGTTGCGGCTTTCGGGCGTAGGGTTACAGGTAAATGTCCGATCACGTCCACGTCAGATAAAGGCGCTTTCCCTCTGGACTTCTGTTCCGTATCCGGTGCTATGCGGACTGTAGGTATTTGATCGTCCTTCTGTCGCTTCAAACTCAGATAACTTTCCATGTTCGCATTGTACAATTTCTGTTTTTCGACATCGGACATGCCTGTACTCTGAAGAATCTCTGACATCGCCGTATCCTGATGCATCATCTTGGATGTAATTGGGGAGGTCTCAATCTTTTGTTTCTGTTCATAACGATTAAGCACGTCCTCCGGGACCAATACCATGCGTTTTGCATGCTTCATACTAACAAACTTCCGAGTACACTCAACACTGGTGGTAAGAGAGCTGACAATAAATTTCCACCTTTCTGATTAAGGTACAACTTCTTCCGTTTTCTTGACACTTTCTTATTGGCTAAATCACGGAGATGTGTCTTGTAACGTGCTAAACGTCGCTTTTGCCGAGGTGTTACCAGAATGACACCTTTAAGTAAATTCAAGGAACACTCACAAATAGCTGTGATGACATTCGCTGGAACGTTATCGATGAGTAATTTTCGCAATTTAGGTTTAGATTTGACAATGACTTGAAGATAAGGAAGACTTCCTTTCATGCGTTTTGACATCTTGCAAATGAACCGTTTTCAATACACGTTCAGCTTTTAAGCACGTTTCACATAAACAATCTGTCTCTCTTCGGGTAAAATGCTGGTCCTCAGACGCATGTTCTCTGGTGTCAGCTGATGACAATCGATGACTAAATATCCGTAAGGCCTGCCCGTCACATCGTGAAATGCCTCCAGACTATTCAAACTAATCGTTCGAGAACGTTCGCCTGGCGGGAACAAATTCTGAGTAAGGTACAGCACGGACATGCCAAGGTGATGGGAATCACGTGTAAACAATTCCGAGACACGTGGATCGTTGGAACATTGTGACATCAAGTCATCGAGCACGACTAACGAGTTATCATGTCCGCGGGTCATCTCGCACAAATTATCGGGAAATCCTTCCACGAGAGTTAAATTGGGAACTGTCTGCAACATTTCTTCAAATTCCTTCTGATATATGCCGTAACAGTATATTATTTTAGTCGGCACGGGATTAAATAGTTCCTCTGCATGCCGTAACATGTAACGGACCAAATAGGATTTCCCGCTTTGACTTTGCCCACAAATATAAAAATTTGCTGGTGTTTTAAATCTCACGTCCATTGTGTTCACATGCATAACACGCACTGCGTTATGATTTGACGTGTCCGTTCGTTTTATATCTTAAACACCTGTCTGATCATTCTACGGAAAATACTCTCTTCTTCAATTCGATATGCACTAAAGTCAAAGCTTCTCAGTGGGGCCGCGACTAAACGAACAGCCCTCCGCGTTGTATCCTCGGAACTGTGCATCAAATAAACTAACGTCAAATAGGCCATAGCACGGCCAAAAATTAGTCACGTTGATCGTGTTAAAAACAACATGCATTTCATTAGGATTAACATTCACTACCATTTGATTGTACAACGCCTTGTGGCGCTCAAGCAAATTACTAATAGTATGAGATAATGTTCTCATGTCAATATCAACGCCCCGCGCTTGCAATTCGTCTAGTATCACTTCCATCGCAACAAAACAACAAATGAATACAACATGTGAAACCATTTATTTATATACAACAAATTAATCTATATACAGCATATTAAATCCTATCTAAAAGTTCTACCTTAAGCTACAATTAGCTCGACGCACTAATTCTATGTTTCCTAGCTACATTTCATTATATAACATTTAAAGTCACATGTGAATAAACGTTTTCGCGGGAAAATACAGAACAAGGTCGTATATTGTTAAAATGTTGTCCAAAATGTTCGTCCTTGTGCTCGTAAAGTTATCACTGGCGTATCTTTGTATTGAGTTCAAAAGTTACCATTATTTGGACTGCTCGGAACTTGGCATCTCAACCTTTCCCCGGTATGGAAAGCACAACTGGGTTGAAGTCCTCGATTTAAAGAGAAACAATATATCCTTTTTGAACCTCTCAGCCATTACAACCGACTTTCCGAATATTAGCCATGTGGATTTACGACACAACCCCCTAGATTGTACCAGGCTGCCAGTACGCGTAAGGGTACACATTACAAGTGACTGCCCCCGTACCACAAACATGTTCATAGCGCCGGCCATTACGTCGCAATCATCCAATATCGTGCTACGTACGACAGCACCTCGAGCCTCCTTGATAAAAACCGTTTATAATACCCCTTCCACCGCAAGCCTCCCGACCCCTTCTCCAATCAACACCGGCAAAGATCATATCCTCCTGGTACTATCAGTTCTAATACCAACCGGCATTACAATACTCGGCATCGCATGTTTTTACATCGTTCGAAGGAGGAGAAGGCGCCGTTCATTTTATAGAGAATTCCTTGCACTAAACAATACTCGTCGCCAATTCTCAATTGATTCCCTTTCTTCAGATTCCTCCAACGAGGAAATATACCATGTACAGGAGAGTTCATTTTAATATCCTTCTAAAAACAACACTATTTTACTGTTATCAATACCAATGTTCTGTTATAAAAACAATCTAATTTAGGGTGTGCCCCGCAGGGCCTGCAATACCTTCCTGTTGTGTTAACTTATAATGACATTTCTGAAATGACGAATGTACAAAAATAGCTTGTGTACAAAATGTGTTATTGTAAAGGCTGATTTCCGCTGTCGCATTTCCCGTACGCACGTACACGCACGTAAAACTTCGAATCCTCCTATTCCTAACTAATTTACAAATGCGTCCTAAAACTCGCGGAACACTGAGTTCTGTTGCCCCACTTACCTGGTTAATTTATAAGTAACATCCAGACGAACCTAAAGTTTTACGTGCGTATACGTATGAAAAACGCAACAGTGGAAATCAGCCTTAAAGGAGACGCGGAAACGGTATCTATGTTTAAATGACCTCTGCTCTAAGCGGTTATGTTCCGATAAACACTCGTGTGTTTGACAGGAAAACCCAATAGCTTATACTATATTATTCGACATAATGTCTATACAAGAGTAAACATACGCCTACACGCTCCTGAAACAGATTGTAATATTAATGCGAAATACTATTAATTCTATACTGTTCATTTCAGCGTGCCTATGCATTCAAAATAAGACCCATTCGGGACACGCTAAAATGTACAGTACTGTTTAAACCATATACGCAGCAGACGTTAAGAACTTCAGTGTATATTAGTATTCCAAAATTGTACATATAGTTTCTTTACATGCATATAAGACCTATAATCATAAAGGCAATGTTATAATTACAATGTAGTGTGAGACATTGTTATTGTGCTTTCGCCACTTCCCGACCGCTCGAGTGACATTAGTTCGGTCTCAGAGGGCCCCTGCGTAGCAGCTGCGCTTCTCTGCCGCCGTCCCGCCACACAGAGCCTATAGCCGTAAAACAGACCCAGAAACAACAGGATTAAGGCCGAGGGGATTAAGGCCGAGGGCAGGAGGAAGGTTCGGGGTGCCACTGAGGCTCCGGTGGGTGTTGGAATTAAAAGCCGAGTCAAGGACCCTGCGGGGGTTATGGTCCAGATTAAAACCCGAGGTGTGGTGGGGTCCATGGTCTGGGGTGCGGAACTGTCTGTAGACCCGAACGTAACACCCGATACCGTATCCAGCATACCTAATTGAAGAGAAAGTCAAACTATATAACTATAAGTTGCAACGAATGCTAACATAAATGAAATAAACTTACAGTCACTCGTGACATCTATCCCAATATCCAAAACGGTTCTACAGTCAAGTGCAGGGTTGTGTCGCACGTTAATATGTTGTAAGTTCGGGAAATATAACAACAGTTCGGTTATATTTAAACGAACAAGACGGTTACGTCTAAAGTCAATCGATACAACCCATTCTCGTTCTGTCTTCCACAACCCCTTGATGGTTTCCAGCGCCAAACCACTACAGTCCAAATAACCAGCAAGACGCTGTTCCTGACAAAATGGGGTGCTTCCATACACAAAAAATAAAACGCAAAACACAACAGAAAGCATTTCGTAGATCTGTTTAAATTCCGAGTGAAATATCTCCTTTCATGTATATGAATAAATACTAGTCTAAACTACGTACGCAAATGAACCGGTAATTACACAAGCACTCTGAAAACTATGCATAAAGTGTGAGAAGACAGCGGTCATAGCTCAGCTTATCTTGAATTTGAACTATAATAATCTTTCCCTTTCAAACATGCGTAATATTTATTATTTAAAATCACAATACAAACATGCGTAATATTTATTATTTAAAATCACAATACTATGTATTGTTAATTTCCTGTAGCCACAGGAATAATCTGAAAAATATGTATAAAGCGCGGGAAGACAGAGGCCAAAATTAATCATATTAAACGTGGTAAACACAAATAAATATTGCACAATGTTCATTGGTAACTAATACTAATAATTGCGTAACGCTCATTTTCCAAAAGTGGAAGCAGCAAACAAACAAGTGGAAACACGGGACGGCGGGAATCCCACAAACAACAACAGGTCGGAAAAAAAACAAAAACAAAAATCAAAAAGCCATGGGAAAAGACAAGAAAAAAGAGGCAGAACGACAGAGAAAATTACGACTTAATAAAAAAACAAAAACAAAAAGGCTGGAGGCTTTCTGGGCGTACGCCGAACAAAAAAATCAGTCCTTTCTCGACGAATTTCTTGCCTTCTATGAAGGCAAGCAGGACAATAAGCAGGACCAGAACCAGGAGACACAGCAAGAAACCCGAGAAACCCCACAGCAACCGTTGGGACAGTCGTCGGTAAATAATGCTGACCTGGATTTCCTAGATGATCCAGGCAGCCTGGACTTTATCGATAATATACATCTAGACTTTTTTAATGACTTTTAGACAATTTAAAATAAACATTTTTATTAACCCTATTCTTTATAACAGTTCTTGAAAAATAACACATATTAAATGTTCAAACTATTAGCAAAATCGTTTATGAATTTGTTTGCCAGGTAATGTTCCTCGTGCTTTTCGGGTGGTTTACTTGAAAGGGGTTCCACAAAACTGACATCTTGATAAGGTTCCTCAGGCACCCAATCAAAGTACTTGCATGAAGATTCCTTGTCATTTGAACAGCAGAAAAACTCTCGATCTTTATTGAGACCTTCCTTTTTCACCTTACGGACCATACACGGTAATCCATGGTGACACTCTGGTTTGACTAAAGGTCGTACATCACCCCATACCCAGAATGAACACGGCTTCAGCTTGTTGGAACACACAAAAAACGGTCTCCCATAACTTGCTTTCATCAAATTTCTAACAACCCGCATTTTCGCAAGTTTACTATGTTCACCACACCGAGGATGAGGCTGTTTCGTAGCTCTCCATGCAGTTATAGCCTTTTCATACAAATAGCCCTCATCCTCGCAGCAAAAGAAATTGCAGCTAGGATTCTGATTGCAAAACCAGAAGGAACCATTTTGAGTAGTCGAATGAGCAGCGGGTTCACCGTGTAAGCACCTCATCTCTTCACAAAAACTATAAACATAAAAACAAAAATCGCTCGTCTCCTCTATTTATATTCCCCATCCAACACAGCTAACCAATCAGAGACGAGTATGATCATGACGTAGTTTAAGGGTGTACGTACACCGTGTACGTACACCATGTACATACGTAGTATATGTACGGGGTGTACGTACACCGCGTACGTACACCCCGTACGCGTACGTACACCTCTAGTATAAATACACTTCCCCATAATCATCAACCACACACCGAAATGGAATACGTAGGAGTTCTACCAGCGCCGGAAGATGTCATACCACCAGCAAACATACCTCTCTTTGGAATCCTGGCGGAAAATACAGCAGAACCGGGACAGTGCTATTTCTGTTTCGAAGAAATTAATGGAAACGAGCTACTGGCGATGACAATGCATTGCTGCCAACAAAAAGCCCACTGTCGGTGTCTCCAGATGTGGGCGACACATTACATTGGAACAGATATCGAAACCGTACGGTGCGGGTACTGCAGAGCACCATTCCCGGACAAGGAACTCTGTTATCTGTGTCTACAAAACAAAATCACCGGACAAGAATTGAAGAAAACCCGATGCTGTCAAACAACAATCCACAAGAAGTGTACGGAAATCCTAAACGAAATACTGGCAAACCTGACATTCGATTTCTCACTAGAATGTGGCGAATTAACCTTCTGCGGATGCGTCTGGCACAATCTCTAAAAACACTATAATTATCAAAATCTCTGTAAACTACTGTAAAACCTAATAAATTTTTCAAATATTCGCCGCTGTACGCCATTCTGAACATTTCCTTGCTTCCGGGTTTCCATGACGTCATTGCTCCTGCATACCCATTACTTCCGGCATACTCATTACTTCCGGCATACTCATTACTTCCGGTGCTCTACTCGTTCCTGCATACTAATTACTTCCGCCGCTATACTGCACTTCCGCCGCTATACAGACGGTCTAATACTACTTTCATCACATTTAGCAGTGAGTGAAGTTTGAAATTATCATCCTGGATGATAGCAGTGATATTCAACCATTTCGAGGAGCTTGCAACTAACGTGACATCATAAATTAGCGGACATATTCACATTCATTTACATATCAAACAAATTGAAATATCTCGGGAACAAACCATAAAAACAAGAAACTGAGAAATAAGTTACACTACAGCTTAAAGAGTTCTTTCATTTAAGAAAATAATAAATTTCATGTCGTATAGCTTTAAAGCCTGCCCAATCTTGCTGCAGCTGATGTTGCAGTAGCTCCCAGCAGTGTGTGAGAACTAGTTTTTGCTATTTCAGTTCAATGCTCAACTTTATTGTCTAGTGGGTAGTGTCCATGCCAATTTGCTGCACACTGGTGTGAATCTGGTTTATCTAATACTAGTACTGTTAAACTTTTAGATGCAAAGATAATTCATGTGATGGAAAACATTGCTCAAATTTTTCCATCAAAGCAAGGAAAATCATCTAAAAAAATTACCACAGATGTTGTTTATACAATTAAGGTGATTATTACACAGCAAATTGAGAATTCTTACCTAGAAAAAAATTCTTGCAAAATTCTTATTTTAAGCAATATTTTGCTTAAAATAACAAAAACGAGAGAAAATATTCTTATCAAGAATAAATTTTACTTAAAATAAGTAAAATTTTTCTAAGCAAGAATAATTATTTTTTTAAACAGGCAAAAGTTCTTGCTTATATTCTTACCAAGAATGTCTGTATATATATATATATATATATATACTTAACAGGGGCGGATCCAGGGGGTATCAAGCATAGCTCAAGATACGGTCAGATTTTTCCAATTATGGATAGTAAAATAGTTTTATTGAAATATGCACCATTAATATTATAACATATTTTCACACAATTCATTTCTGTGTACAAAAAAATAATGAAAATTTTAGTTTACTGAGATTAACGAGGGCAAATTCTTTTGTAAAGTTTACAATTTACAGCTCTAAACGTAACTTTAGCAGCATTTTCAAAGCCTTGAATTATTTTTGACAAAGATGAGCTGAAAGCTTTCCGAAGGCATAACCCAAAAAAAATGAATGTCTGAAAAATGCGTTTGCGGTGTTCTGATACGGTCCGCAGTTCAAATGTTACTAAAAATAGTAAATTAATGAGGTATTTGGATACCTTGGAGGGGATCCAGCCAATCACAGGACGTGCATCTATGACGTCGGATACCCTCTGATACTGTGGCTGTGTTTTGATTACGCAAGAAATGAAATAATCAAAAACAGCTTGGAAACTTTGTCTCATATTGCTAACAGCCGCACTCTTCTAACGTTAACAACTGAGCCACACTGGAAAGTAGGCCATTTTAGCCTCGAAAAAGATTTGCGGCAGGCTAGCTATTTTGTAATACTAATTACTAATAAATTTCTGCTATTGCAGCAGTTCTCCTGCGGCAGCTTGTTGGTGCTTTCCGCCCATGAAACGCCCATGAGTGAGCAATGGCCTTACATTCAGAAACGTCCTTGAAATAGCACTCTGTGAATAGTGTTTTGGATGCCGATTCGAACAAGACTATTACAAAAAAGATATGTCTGAAGGGCTCGAAGTTATGTTGGGCGAAAATTAATACTGTGTGACCTGTATGGCTAGTTTACATTGTTCAAGAATATTGAGTACTATAGTGAAATATATGATATTGCTTGACCTCTCAAAGTTCATAAATCACTATAATGTTGTATACCATGCCTGTATTACACAAAAGGTTTAAACAAAAAACAAAAGGCACTTGTGCTATCGTGCCTTATTGCCACTGGTTTAATTCAAGGTTATTGTCAAATCAAAAATATTGCAAACAAAATTTCCTATGGCGTAGTATGCAAGTTTTGTATAGTCATTACAAGTGATATATATATATATAGCTTTGTTAGCATATTGCACTACATACTCTGGAAAATAGTCTATGGTCTCTATGACTATAGTCGTATAGACGAATTTGTCAATGACGTAGCTATATGGTTGTGTATTTTATACCCAAGGCACATCATTATATCAGTGATATATATGTCTGTGCCAGCGTGCTTTCATGCCTTGGGTATAAAATAATCATATATCAGTGATATATATGTCTGTACCAGCGTGCTTTCGTGCCTTGGGTATAAAATAATCACGTATCAGTTATTTATATGTCTGTGCCAGCGTGCTTTTGTGCCTTGGGTATAGAAGGGTATAAAATAGTCATATATCAGTGATACATTACCAGAAATATGGGACATTTTGCTCCCGCTTTTGTAGTCAGTGGCTAAGTCCGTTTTATATGCCTAACATTGCTTAACATAAGTAAAACGACTTCGCATTTTATTTCGAATCTCCAATTCAAGTATTATTCAACCAAAAACTGTGATTTTAAACTATATTTTGCAGTTCTTGCTGAGCACTTCCGGTATTTTGACCTTTAACCCCGCAAATTTTTATCAAGACTAAAAACATCGCAAATATCCCTGTGTTTTTATGTGAGAGAGCCTGGATCTAGTCTTTCAAAATAAACAAGAAACATGGCTGCTCGAAACAGCTCAAATTTGCATTAAAACTTGTCGTTTTTGGATATTAAGATGACCTAATTGCGGCATACAAAAACTGTTAAAAGGTGAACTTTTAAACGTTTCGGGAACTAGTTTCCCTGGAAATTACAGCGATTTATTTAGCTAAATTAACAGTTTGGACATCATTAAATATATCGCGAGCTCGGCACTTGCTCTATTCGTCGGATATTTACCTCTTGTGTCACAAGTTTACTATAAATCACACTATGAAATTCATCGAATTGCGAGTAAAAATACAACATTCTCAGGAACCTGCTAGACGTGTGCAACACTAGCGCTTTTTGTTTAGAAATATTGCTTGTTCGTGTTGCTACTATAGTAGAGCTCGGCAACCATGAAATATTTAAACAAAGTATATTAAAATTTGATATTTTGATCAACTCCCATATAGTTTATAGTAATATTTGGTCGCCATATTTGGTCAAAGTGGGCATGTCCGTCGCCATCTTGTCCCATATTTCTGGTAATGATATATGTCTGTGCCAGCGTGCTTTCGTGCCTTGGGTATAAAATAATCGTATATCAGTGATATATATGTCTGTGCCAGCATGCCTTATGTGACACTTCAAAACAAAGACTCGGTCGCAAAATGTTTGAAAAGAAACAATGCCTTTCACAGTGCAAATTTACAGTAACAAACCAAACAATGATTCAGTCATTTTAAAACCAAGTTAACCAATCATATCCAATATTACTCAACACGTGGTCAGTTTACATGTGGCTTTAAAGATCTTGAACGCTTCATATGACCATTGTCATGTTGCTCTTTGCCTTGGCATTGTTCTCCTATTA